TATTCTTAGACATAATTAGAAAAAGTTTCAATATCTACCTCAAATCACAATAAGAGTTTTTTGTTCTTCACCTAATCCCAATATTACAGTTCCACTACACTTCAATGGTTTTATCAACAAGTCCTTTACTGTTAAGGTTACATTTTTCTGGAACTCTTCCTCTGATGACATCCACTTTATTTGTTATCTTATCAAAGTGAATACATTAAAAGATTAAAATAAAAATGTATAAATAAAAAATTAATAATTTTAAGTGTATCATTCAGTCATAAAATATGAATATAGAATTTAATTATTTTATTTATTTCACTTCAGGTTACATGGTGAAGAAAATAGTATCAAGGAAAAGAAAATTGGTTAAATTTTTGACTAATATTGCAACTGAAAGTTTAAGTGACTCAGTGTCACAACGACTTGATCAAGCCCAATCCCTGTCAAGAAATAAAGACCTTTTTGGAAAACTTTTATTTGTTAAACAAACAAGCTCAGACTTTCTTGTTTATGCAATTAAAACAAATTCATAAAAGCAAAATGGCCAGAAGGTTTACCTTAGATGAAAAATTAATGGCATTGCTCATAATGAAACAAAGCCCCAAAAGTTATAACTATTAGAAAGAATGTTTGCCTTGCCTAGTAAACGGACATTAAATAGACTTTCTGAGAAGGTTTCAATACAAGCAGGACTCAATCCATTAATATTTGAACATATATCAAATACAACAAAAAATGGGACACTAAACAAAAGCTATGCACAATAGTTTTTGATGAAGTCTCTCTGACACCACATTTAACTTTTAATGAGAAAGATGATATAATTAATGGGTTTGTAGATATAGCTGGAGAGAGAAAACTAAAATATTGTGATCATGCTTTAGTTTTTATGCTAAGAGGAATATGCTCTCCATGGAGAGAGTGTAGCATTTTATTTCTGTGAAGGCACAGTATCAGCAGCAGAGCTGCAATGCATTTTAAAGCAGATTGTGCCCCAAGTAATACAAACTGGGTTAATACCTTTAGGTCTTGTTTGTGATCAAGGGTCCACATTTCGAACAGCAATAAGAAGACTTAGGGAAGATACAATTCGTAGGCGGAATATTCAAGGTGTTCATGATGGTGTGTACCATTCTTGATTACTTAAAAACCAGTTCTACTTCATGACAAATGTTATTTATTTTAATTATTTTACAGATGGATCAGTTAATATTGCTGATCACGATTTAAGCATATTTTTTGAATTTTTTAAATAAAGATATAATTTGGGAAGAAAAAACCCCCTCTTGGAAAGATATTGAGTTCATTTTTGATTTGGATAGCAAATTGGGACACACAAGGGCACTACCAAAGTTAACAGCTCATCATGTTGATCGCAAAAAGATCAAAAAAATGAAGGTCAGCGTAGCTGCTCAAGTATTTAGTGCTCGAACTGCTGCTATGCTCAAATATACAAATGCACTCAGTAAGTAACGATTGCTATATTGATTTGTAGGCTTATTCAATTTATGTATATACTATTGTAAAATTTCATGTAAAAAAATCAATTTGTAAAAAAATGTTTAAAAAAGTCTGTTGTTGTAACCAAATAAGAAGTGTCTTGGCTAAAGATTTGCAGGTCCAACTGTAAAAGAAATTAAATTAAGAAGTACTTTTTTTTTCAGATTATTTTCATACTGCAAACTCTGACGCAACAATGGCCACAACAGCAGAAGTTGTTGAATTCTTTGACACACTGTTTGACAGCGTCAATGGCTACCCGGGTGGTGTGCAAAGAGGAAAGTTAAGACGAGCGGTTAAACAAAATTCACAACATCACACTTTTTGGATTGAGGCCATTAATAAAATAAAAAAAATGGTTTTTGTGGACACCAGTAGCAAACATGCTACAAAAGCAGGAAAACCTCGACTTGTGCGAGTGCCATCCCAACAAGGATGGGTTACAACTCTTGAAAGTTTTATAAGGGTCTCCAAATTATTATTTGAACAGTATAATGTAGAATATTATTATCCGAGGAATATTAATCAAGACCCATTAGAGAATTTTTTTGGACGTATAAGAGCTGTAAATTATAGAAATGTTAACCCAGATGCAAACACATTTATATATGCCTTTAAATCTTTGATATTATCTAACATGCTTAGTCCACATTCCAAATTCTCTAATTGTGAAGAGGATAATGGAGAAACATTATTAAATGTTAGTGTTCTTTTTAAAAACCTTCATAATAATAAAGAAAATGACTCGGAAAACACTACCAGTGTTTTGCGAGATCTCCCATCTTCTTCACAAGCAAGTTCAGGAGAAAAATTGCTAGTGAATGATGTAGTCATGGAAAAAATTAAAGTCCACTGCTCAGCTTACACTGCTGGATACATTTGTCGGAAAATAACGAAAGCGATTCGTTGTAAGGATTGCATCAAAACATATATTAGCAGTACGGAGACAAACATTCACTCTTACATTAAATTTAGAGAGTATAAATTGTTAAAAAATAATAATTTGGCATACCCTAACGAAAAATTCCTTATCTTGTACAGGGATGGCACTCACTTTATTCATAACTATTTGAATTATAGCTGTATTGGAAGTAATATAAAAAGTAATTTGAAAAGAAATTTATTGAGCACTTTAAGTTTGTCCTGCCTAGGGTGTGATAAGCATGCCTTAATTGTCAAAAACTTTTTCGTCAATATTTTAATTAGATTACATGGACACAATTGGTGCAACATAAATAATAAAATATTGAAGGGTGATATCGATGAAAAATATGTATCTAAAATGGGTGAACCCCAAAAATTGGCCTTAAAGAAGTATAAAAGTTTTAGGTTAAGAAAAACATGTTTAAGTAAATAAAATGTTGATGAAGTGACGACCTGTATATGCTGGTGGCTTAGGACCGTGATTTGTGGCATTTCTTGGGGGAAGCCTACGTTCAGCAGTGGACTTGTGAAGCGCTGTAATGATGACGGTGGTGAAATAAAATTCTAAAAATTAAGTTATATGATAATATAGATCACTTTTGAATTATGATTATACTAAACTGTCGTTAACAGTAGCCATACAGCATTAATACATACAATACAGAAGTATACATTATATATTTATTCTTTAATTTTGGGTTTATGTATAAGAACAAAATTCACAAATATTGTTGGTTTTCAGAAACAGAAATCTAATGCTGATGTGGTGAGACAAATGTTGACAGAAGATACAAAATGTACACATTGGCAAAAAGGTATGATAAATTCAGTTTATTATTAGACATTAAGTAAGTTTCAACATATCTATTATATCTATATTCAGCATATTATCCTCAAATCACGGTAAGAGTTCTTTGTTCTTCATCAAATCTAAAGATTACAGTTCCACTACACTTCAATGGTTTTATCAACAACTCCTAGTATTAAGGTTACACTTATTTGGAACTCCGTGCCTGAAGACATTGAGAAATCTCCTGATAATGGATGTATACAGTGTTAATCTATATATGTTTTTCATTTCTTATTTACTGCATCTACCACTTTATTTTCACCACACCATGGGTTGACCAATAAAAAATGGCAACTGCCATGATGCCACCCTTTGTTACCTTAATATAAATAATATACAATTTATGATTATCATTAAGTCATAAAATATGAATATTGAACTTTATTTTTATTTATTTCGTTTCAGGTTACGTGGTGTAGAAAATGAAATTAAAGAAGAGAAGATGTTTTTTAATTTTTGTAAAAGAATTCCCAGGTTTACCCCTAATGAAAAATAAATAGCATTGCTTCTAATAAAAAATGACTTGAAAGTAAAATATTAAGCACTTAAATATGATTCCTGTGGTTTAATTTGCTTTATTTAATGAAATGTAAATATTGCTCTGTTTCGTCAAATTGTACTTATTTATGTAAAATGTTATGTACAATTTTCTAATTTGTATATATGACTTAATGTGCCTTTAATTTAATCCTAAGATTACGTTTGTATGTATATGATGTTGGTGTGCTTGAATAAAAAATAAATAAGTTAGATGTATTATAATTGTTTCATTAAGTATTATTATTCCTGTATAATGTACTTATGTCGATATCGACAAAATAAGAACACCACTAAATATCGATATCGATAATTAGAAGGCTGTGTGCTTGCAATCCCTAAGCTATACTAAATTGTATAGTCATGACGTCATTACTCATCTGTCAAATTGGGCGACTGCAGCGCCAAAAGGCGTAGTTGGGAAACTTGACTAAAAGCACAGAACACTATTACTCCTATCGGAGAAGAACGACAACTTCATACAAAATTTAAGAAATGAGATATATAACCACTAGCGCCATCTATCGTCAGCCTCCTGCACTTCTTGTGTGGCGGGAAAATTTGAATGTGGTCTTTTTTGTTATTTTTTTATTTGAGGTACTTTTGGGTTTCCTATCCCAGCGCTAAATAAAAGAACAAAAATTACAAAATTTCTGTTTATTTATTCAAAATAAAAATACAAATTGAAATAAAAAACATACATAACTTAAGAAACAATTTCTCCAGCAGCTTAGTTCTTTCTATAAAGACATTTGATGGGTTTAAACATGAAAAGAAAATCAATAATGATTACAACATTTCAATTACTTAAGTAAACAATGATAAAGAATTGAAATAAGATTTACAATCATGGATGAATTGATAATATGCACAATGATTGTCTACAATAACCAAAATATCAATATTTTAACCCCTTACCGCATACTGTGCCAAATTTGGAACGCTTTAATTTTTTCCTTGTAAAATGTTATCAACGCCATCTATCTATTCCGTTCTGCATCAACAAACAAAAGTAAGGTGTGCTTTAACTAAGCTACTATAAACAACCTCCATTCTAGTCTTTTGAAACGTTATTATCTCTGGACAAAACAGTTGAGGCCGCCATTTTGTAGGAGCCCGACGTTTCTCAGCTTCATACAGCGATAAGTGTTGTTGTTCTTGCAATAAAATTAAAAAACTGTGTGAGTGTTGCAGAAAAATGGATCCTCAGCGCTTTTATGGTAAAAAACGTAAGTATATTTTATAGTATCTTGTTTAATTAATCGGTCAAAGTTTGTTCCAAATTCGGAACAAAATGCAGCCAGGCGCTTTTTAACTGGCCAAATTTGGAACTTCATGCAATGTGTTCGTTAAACCCCCCTTGGTCATATTTGGAACATTATGCAGTGTAAGTTAATTATACTCGTCCTAGTTTTGATTATTTATATATGAACTCATCATCACTTCACTAAATATTATGAAACAAAGCCGTCGGCCACGTCTATCTGTCTGTCTGTTTACGAAAACTACTGCACGGATTTTCATGCGGTGGTCACAATAGATAGAGGGATTCTTGAGGAAAGTTTAGGTATAGAATACATCCCCGGCACGTCCGGGACGGGTTGCTAACTATATCTTAACCTAGAACTCAAACCTGGATGGCGAGGGCTAAATCCAGCCAGTCCCATCGAATTGACCAGTCTTTTTTAGGGTTCCGTAGTATACGTCAAGGAACCCTTATAGTTTCGTCATGTCCGTCCGTCCGTCTGTCCGTCTTCGCTCTACCGTCCAAACTGTTAGCGCTAGAAAGATGAAACTTTGCATGGATATGTGTATTTACTACGCCGACAAAGTGCTAAAATAAAATTATGAAAAATGTTTTTTTCTGGGGTACCTCCCCTACACGTACTTAATGTGGGGATGATTTTTTTTCTGAAATGAATGTATAATATTTTTTCACAGGTCCTGCATTTTCCATCCCAGAGAGTAGTGAAGATGAGAAGGCATCGGATGATGAAACTTATAGAAACCCAGGTCCTGAGATTTTCATTCCAGAGAGCAGTGACGATGAAATCGCTTCAGATGATGATCGTGGAAATGTAGGTGAATTTGAAGAAATTTATTTAGATGACGACGCTCTTGATAATGATTGCGACGAATATATTCCTTATGAAACGGAAGAAGAAGATATCTCAAGCAAGCCTTCTACGTCAAAACAGCGCACAGGAAATAAGAGAAAGAAGGTTAAATGTGTATGGTCTGATGAAAGTATGGCGTATGACGAGTCACATATTGCGTTTTTAGGATGCCAAGATCTCCCAAATGAAATTATGAAACTCGAAGCGCCCATGGATTTCTTTAAATTTTTATTTCCTTCTTCAGCGATTAATTTAATTGTAAGGGAGAGCAACTTATATGCTGATCAAATCACCGAAAGCAACCACAATGAAGTCACGGAAGAAGACATACGTAAATTTTTAGGCATAATAATTTATATGTCTGTGGTGCATCTTCCAACAACACGTCATTATTGGAAGGAAGGTACATACATTGAAAAGGTGGCTTCAGCAATGACTTGTAACAAGTTTGAAGAAGTAAAAAGGTTTTTACATTTTTTTTAACAAAAATGATGAGTTGGAGTCCGGTGATCCAAATTTTGACCGGTTACAAAAGATACGCCCTTTCCTTAATATATTGCGTGAAAGACTGTTACAAATGCCTAAAGAAGAATACTTGGCAATTGATGAACAAATGATTCCTACCAAAGCACGTACTTCTGGTATGAGGCGTTATAATGCCAAAAAACCACACAAATGGGGCTACCTCAATTATGTGCTAAGCGGAGCCAGTGGCTTTAGCTACGATTTTGAGGTTGATACTGGAAAACACCCTGATCCGCCAGAGAACTGCCCTGACCTCGGAATACCAGGAAACATTGTCCAGCGTTTGTTAAACACTGTTCCTCAAAATCTTAATTATAAAATTTTTGTGGACAATTGGTACACTAGTTTGCCTTTGATGGCCAACTTGCATAAAAAAAGGACTCCTTCCTTTAGGAACAATTCAGCTCAATAGAGCACCCAATATAAATATAGAAAAAAAAACTATTATGAAAGAAGAAAGAGGATATTGTGCGGAAAAATCTACCATTTATGAGGATGTCAAATTAACCGTTACTACTTGGGTAGACAATAAACCTGTTAGCCTGTGTTCTTCATACGTAGGCAAAGAACCCATGGCAATGGTGAAAAGATTTTTAAAGAAAAAAAGGGCCAAAATTGATATCCCTTGCCCAAAGGCTATTACAATTTATAATAAATATATGGGCGGCGTAGACTTATTAGATTCTATGCTAGGTTTTTATAGGATTAAAATTCGAAGCAAAAAGTGGTATCACAGATTGTTCTTCCATTTTATAGACCTAGTCTGTGTAAATAGTTGGTTATTGTGGAGACGTAGAACCAAACAAAAAGGTGAAGACATGTACATACCCTTGCTGGATTTTAAATTAATGGTGGCAGAAATTCTGATGCAAGAAGATGCCAGAGTTTTTACACCAACTCGCAGAGGACGACCGCTAAATGCAAATATAGAAAATATTAAAAAAGACAAAAAACGACGCCGCATTGAATTGCCTCCTGTTGAAGTAGCCGAAGATGGCTTTAATCACTGGCCGGAGTGGAAGACTGACCGACAAACCCAAGTAATGTGTACTAAGTGCAAATGTTATTTATGCTTGAATAAGGACCGCAACTGTTTTAAAAAATTTCACATGTCGCATGATTGAATAAATAAATTAAAATTCATAAATGTTTGCTTTCGCATAGGTTTTTTTGTATTATTTTTAATAAACTAATTTCTTAAATGTATGAAAATAAAAATATTAAGTAAATATATTTTTATGTAGTTTTAATTAATTGAAGTAACTTAATTTAAAAAATTGATTAAATATAAATAATTTAATTATAAAATCTATATGTATAATAATACCTATATAAAAACTTCACAATTTTTAGTAATCATATTTTTGACATTTTTCTAATAAAATAAATTTGCAATTATATTGATACGACGTCACATAAGTATTTAATTTCTTAAAATATGTTTTTATTTAGACATAAATTTGAAATTATGACCTTAAAAAAAACATGCTTATCCAAAAGTAGAACACACTGCATGATGTTCCAAATATGGAACACGTACAATTATAAGCTTGAATGCATATCGTTCCAAATTTGGAACCAAAACTTTGGATATTTTTTTTGTAATGAATAATACCTCGATTTTTTTTTAAATATTTTTATATCAACAGGTATAAGGTATAGAACTAAATATTTTTTTTTAAGTTGATTTAAAAATTCCATGCGGTAAAGGGTTAATCTAAAACAAGTTAAATAATAAATAAGCTTCTACACACAAGTGCAAAGTGCAACATTCACAAATAATAATTGTGTTTTGATAATATTTGGTTCTCTATCTATTTCCCTGAATTGACACTAAAAATTTTGTCACTATATTATATGCAATATATTAAGTATTGAATGCAGCTTATAAATAGAATAATTTTAATTCAAAATTATAAAACATATTAAATATTAGATTACAAAAATATTCCTTATTTCATTTAAAAAAATTTCATATAGAGATACATACTTTCTTTTTTCAGGTTCAACATTATGTGTTATGCTTCGATGTTTGTGGTTGTTCTTCAGTGAATATAATGTTGTCCTTTTTGAAGATCCTGCTTGTGGTTTTGCAGCAATAATTTGTGAGGGACCAGCTTGTGATTCCACAAAATAAAATGGGAATACACTTTGTTAGTCTGGAAATAAATAAAAACTGAAATAAATTATAGTATCATAAAATTATTATATACAATTAAATTAACATTATATTCATTGACATTACTTTCATAGTAAACCAGTCCCTACTCATGGGACTACATTACCCTTCTACCAATACAAAGTAAATGAATGGATCTTGTTCATCCACCTTGCTCTATAATACACCCACTATTACAATTAATATAACAAAATAAGATAGTAAATACAATAACTATGTGAAAAGAAATCTTGTGTTTATCTATTGTTTGAGAACCATTTGATGCATGTATTTCTACTGCGTTATACAAGTTGTGCCTTTAAATTTGATAGGTTTAGGACCAAATGTAATTATTCATATATTGTGATGCCGGAACTTTCTTAAGGTTTGTTGTTGTTTTAAAATAAAATTTGATTGTTAAAAATAATATGCAGTGTGTTGCACTTTTAATAATGTAAGGAAAGGCTTGTGCTAACTTTATAGACTTCAATCCTTTGGATGCTTTGTCCGATCCAATTATTATAAATTAGTTGAAAGAATTAACAGGATTCAAACTACTGTATGTGGTCTGTCCATCCATGTTAGATCCAGATGATGGTCATATGAATAATCATCATCTTCTTTACAGTCTATCAAAGTCCACTCCTGAATATAGTAATCCCCATATAAAATATCTGAGTAATCCTTAAAGAAAACTATATACATACCATATTACCATATACATTATACACTTTACTTACATCACATGGGACTGCAGTGCTTAAGAGCTTTTTCTTGGTTGCATCATTAAATTAACCATCATGAAAATGTTTTTCACACAGCATTCTGGGCTTATTATGTAGCTTTGGAAAGCTAAAGTAGTATACTGCTCTTGGGAAAGAATATAATATTTCGCCCATAATTTACAACTGAAAACAAAAGATATAATTATTAAATACAAATATTATCAAAGTAGGTTAAAAACAAATTAATGGTTTACAAACCAATAATTTGTTTTTAAATGGTAAAAGAGAAACAATAAGTTGGACAAGAGATTTACTTTAAGGTTAGAACTTATTAGTGTATATGTATATCGTATACGTACCGCAAAATATACTTTACTGCGAATTTCGGAAACCTAAATAATTTAACGTTGTCAATGGTTGGTATGCTGTTGCACTTAGAACACTCTTTCTATTTTCTTTATCCGCCATTGCAGCGTAGTTTTTAAGAGTCACTATTTCGTATTTCACTACGATTCATTGACTAACACATTGCACATAATATAAATGAAGGACATTAATCTCAACTCAACATCGTAAACTTGCAAAATCTTAGTAAAAGACACAAGCAAAACAAACATAACAACCAATCATGAACAACAATAATTTAGACGGCGACGCCATATTATGAGAAAAGAGAAATATATACTCATTAAGGTATTTGGTGTTACCAGTAAAAAATATAATTTTCTACTCATTGAAAATCAAAACAAAAAGAAAACATTTATTTTTCTTTTACTGTCAAGGATATGCTAATATAATAATGTAGAAAAATACGACAAGCATAGTTATCTTCCTATTGATTATTATTTCTGTATTCAAAATTTTTGAGTGTAATTTATCTTTAGCAAAATCTTACTAATTATGAAACAAGACATTTATCTGACAAATGGCAATAATAAAATTCAGCCCCCGTAGGTATTTCATTCTGTCCATACAGAGTTGACCGGGCCTGACTAAAAGTCGCTGTCGTAAGAGTAATAGTGTTCTGTGCTGTCGTATGTCTGAACAGAGTGGTAGGTGTCCTGTTTTTATTCTTTTTTGCAGTAATTAATCGTTATCATTATGTCGAAAGTGATTAAAAGTGCTGGCAGGGATGTTATTTTGAAGGTCAAACGTGCTTGTGAAGAAGAACGAGACAATAACGGGCCTATAGTACCGTTTTCCAAAGTTAGAGCCCGCGTTGCATATTTAACAGGTAATTTTTAGGGATGCCATTACAATAAAATTCCCCAATTTTCTCTATTTGTTCCTTTTTAATTTCCTCGTTTCATTAATATCATGTATTTATAATGCATTGTTTTTATTTTGTTTTAGGTGTTTCTGAACGCACCGTCACCCAGATAAGTCAAGAGGGTAATATAGCAGAAGCTTCATCTTCTAAAATTGTGACGCCGGGAAAAACTAGGAACCGAAGGAAAAAAATTTATGATTTAGACGATTTCGATATGTGCGCTATAAGGCATTTAATTCAATCATTTTACGTCGTGAAGAAGGAGATTCCTACCATAAATAAACTTTGGTTGGAATTGAAAACTGATATTGGTTTTAAATATGGCAGAACATCGTTGAGGAGTATTTTAAAGACTATGGGCTACAAATATAAAAGGTGCCAGTCTAAACGAAAAGTATTGGTAGAACGCAGTGACATTGCAGCTTGGAGAGCAAAATATATTCTGAGGTTGCGCAAGAATCGTCAGGAAGAAAATCGACCGGTAATTTATGTTGACAAAACGTATATACATGCTTCATACCACCTTCAAAAATGTTGGCAATCGAAGGAACAGCCTGGTATTCTTGCTTCTGATAGCGTCGGTGCAAGATGGATAATAGCCCATGGTGGAGGTAAAACTGGGTTTGTTGAAAACGGACTGCTGATGTTCAGGTCTAACTCCAAATCGAATGACTATCATGACGATATGAATTCAGCTAACTTCATGCGGTGGATGAAAGAAAAAATTGTGCCGAATCTTCCAACGAATTGCATTGTAGTGATGGATAATGCGTCATACCACTGCACACAGATCAACAAGACGCCTACAATTGGCAATACAAAAGCAGAGCTCCAAGGATGGCTTACGAGAAATGGTATTACATTTGAAGACTGTAGGACAAAAGCGCAATTATACGAATTAATTAAAAAATACAAAGGAGACCCACAGTACGAAATAGATCAAGTGCTAAATGAATATGGACATGAGTCTCCGTTTGCCGCCTTACCACTGCGATTTAAATCCCATAGAAAAAATTTGGGCAATAGTAAAGAGACGCATTGCAGAGAAAAATATCACTCAAGCTCCTAGCGAAATAGCTGCAATTACTAAGGCGGCGTTTAGAACAGTAACGACAGAAGAATGGTTCAACGTATGCCAACATGTAGAAAAAATAGAAGATAAATATTTCCAATCAGATAGGCTGATGGATATGGAAATGGATGAATTTGTAATTAATGTTACAGGTGACACATCCGAGTCATCTGATGAAGACTCTAGC